ATGGCATTAAGAAATTTCCTGCTGGCGTATCGATAAAACGCCTCGTGCCCGTATCTATGAGTACACACAATCAACTCCAGCGACACCGCACCCCTGAGTTTGGTGACTCAAGCGTCTAGATGGGTCCTAAAGAAAGAGTAAACAAACAGATTATTGGCAGGCGGACAAAAGCATTTGCAAAAGGGCGAACAGTCTCGCCTCGCCCCGCTGCGCCTCTCCGCACCCCGCGCCCGGGCCGGACCGCGGACTGCGGCGGGCAGGCATCAATGATCGGTGACTCATGCACACAGATGAGGCAGCGGACATCTACGATCGACCACGACTGCTCCACGCAAAGCAGGGGTGGGTCCCAGAATCAGAATGCATACACGTCTCGAGAGGAGGGACCCGGCACGGCTCTGCTCGCGACCCCGCGGAGCTGACCGTTGCGCTGACTAGACCAGAGCGCTGCCCGCTGCACCGCGCTTTGAGTGGCTCGCTAGACATCGTTGTGGAGGCATGACTCTCATTGTGAAGGGGTGTAGCATCTGGCAGACAGCGAAATCGTGTACACACAATCAGCAACCTGTGGCTGACTCGTCTTATGACTTTTCGGGGGAGAGCACACTCTGATAAGTATGCAGTAGAATTTGGAACAATTTTGCTGACGTCTTTGTGTTGGCCTACAGGACCGATCTGGTCAACGTTAGTTGTGGTTGTTTTTTTTAAACCCGCCGGTATTCCATTTCCAGTGAAGACACTCGAGTATATCTGTTCGCCGTTTGGCGCGATCTGATCTAGCTGGGCGCAGAGTGTTCGCTTCCGCAGCGCAAGGTTCAAGACATACCCTTTCCGAAAAGCGGCTTATTACGTGTTTGCGTTATTTAAAGACGTCCCCAGTCACCTCCATATATTTATCACCTTCGATCACGCAAACTCAAGGTTGTGTGATCTTCAGCTCTATATTCAGTCACAAACTTCCGAGGTCATGGTAGCAGCGCGAAAAATCTCCTGTCTTGATCAGGACCCGCGAAGACTATGCCGAGAGAAACCACCTACTATGAGATCAGCGCCAAGGGGTCAGACACTAGCCAACTCGTTGAACACTCGTTCGCGCCCAACTCGCGTCTATTTTGGGAGTGGAGGGCCTCTCGATCAACGGACGGTGGCGAATTTCATCGCTAGTTATGCATTGAACTCTGCATTGTGAACAGCGGCGTCAGCGTCAGGCGCGGGCAGCAAGGGCAGAGCGTGCACAGCGGGCTGAGGGCGGATCCTTATTTATTCCCAGGAACCCATCGTCCTGTTCGCATTAATCCTCGATTATCCTTTGTAATCTTCCCGTCCGCACTCCGCAGTGCCCCCGTTGCCGCAATGAGCTGCACCAAAAACAAAGGCAATGAACAAGTTTGGGCAAAGGCGAGAGAATAACAGTCGAAAAACTTTCTGCTGAGAGATGCACATATCATTAGCAAAATTATAAGCGATAGAAGTATTCCATTATCATTTAGCCAATCAAAAGAGGTTCTGAAATACTCATCGTTCGATCCGAAGAGAATGTGCCTCTCGAGTCTAGTGAACCGAGAACAGAAATGTCAATCTGAACAGCTGGTCCCTTCGCGCCGGCTTCCTGTGTCCAGGAGGGCGGCGGCGCTGTATGATTCAGACTGTCGCGGGGGGTGGGTTGGTGGCGGCCTTGTCCTCGTGGCGGTGCGGGCCGCGGGGGGGAGGGCACCTCCGCCGGCGGAGCTGCGAGCTGCGATGCGCCGCGCGGAATGCGCCGGAAGCTATCTAATCTCCTCGGCCGGCCGCCGGCTGCATCGCCATCGCCTCCATGGAGTAATTGCAATCGCCCCTCCCGCGGCGCTGTCGCTCCATAACAGAGGGGTGGTCGTCGAGCTGCGCCTGGAAGCGACTCCGGCCAGGCGGCGGGCCGGGTCGGATTTGAACCTTATTGGCGAGGCGAGCAATGCTCAGGCAGTGATGATAGGGGTGTGTCAGTGTGCGGAGGCCGCGTGCCAGAGCGGAGCGGAGGCCGATACATATCTTTACGACATCAGGTGGCAGAAAGATGCCTCTGCGCATATACGACCTATGAGCAAAAAAGCTGTTATCCTTTCTGTTTTTTACTTCGCCCCGGTTGTCGTGTTTACGTTTTTGAATGAGCGGCGTTTTGAGCATTGCGGCCGCCCCGCCCCCCGCCGGGCCCAGCAGAGAGGCGCCCCGCTGAGCCAAGGCAAACGATTTGCCTAAGCCCCGCCGAGCCGGCAACAAAAAATATACACAGGGTCCTGGTGCGCACCCATTCATTGCTTTATGGCTGATAAGGCGCATATCGCCCTTCCCTGAACGCTGACAAACGAGGAATGCATTTTTCATCCTTGGGGTCAGCCCCGCCTCGTGCCGGTTACGTAACAGCCCGGGCCTGGGCGCTCGAGAAGCTTCAAGTTTTAGCGAACACACTGCGGGTGCGGGGCTGAGAGGCAGTGCTTGCTTTGTGCATTGCAAAATGACAAGCATCAGCCGACGTACGTACAGCCCCGGACCGGGCGCCCTCCACCGCACCCCCTCGCTCGCCGCCACCTCCCGCCCCAGGTGGCCGTGGGCCTAAACGGTTAAAGGTGGGCCGACGGAAGCGGTCAGGTGGCCCAGGTGCCCCAGGGGTGCGCGCTCGGGCCAGCCAGGCCGCCAGGCAGTCAACAACACCTGCGAGGGTTGGGGGTCTGATTAGTCACACATTCATTCCACATGTGTGCAACAAGTGCCTTCATTCATACAGTTTATAAGGTTCGAACCGAGGAGTTTGACGTATGGTTTAAAATATGAATACGTATCAATATCCTCTGAAAAAATAGTCAGAGCTTGTAGGACACTGACAGTCCTGACAGTCCCATGGATTTCTAAGTGCCCAAATGCTGCAACCGTGGGGCACGTTTCCGTTTCTACGTTTAGTTGGTAACAGCGGTGGTTCGTAACAAAAATTTCCACTGTTACTATCGCAAGGACAAACGACGTTGCATTTTCAGAGAAGGAAGGGGTTGTTGCTCTTCCAACTGGATCGCTCCTTTCTTTTTCTTGCCCCGGCCACCGATGGGGATCTGATGACGGCATGATACCTACTATCATGATGACGGGGCGTTCATCCCGCACGATCGACACACATATCTTCAAATGACACAACTGAAATCCTGCAGTCAAGAGGGATGTCGGTCTGTTGCCAGGCGCGGCGGCGGCGGCGGGCGGCGCTTGCTTCCCGTGCGGTCGGCCCCCTCGCGGGTTAGGGTCGGCGAGTCAGGTGCGTGACGGTCCTGCAGAGCGCCGCCCGGGCCGCCCGGGCCGCCCTGGCCCGGCATGCCAATGCCCTCCTGCTGGACCACGACGTGACGGCCGTCAGGTAGCCGGCCGGCCGCGGGCGCCCAGACCTGCGGCGCAGACTTGTGGCCCACACGGCAGACGAAATTAGGCGACTTGGTTCTTCGAAAGTCTAATATCGCCGCGCCCGGCCCGACCCGAACCACCCGGCCGGCCCATCGATACGGCCGGGTCGCGGTGGACTCTATTTAGGGCGGCGCGGCGGAGGACCCGACTAGATCCATGTCACTCCTGCCTACGCCTGCCTGTCCAAAATAACCGAATGGGCTAGTAAGGGCAGCTACCCTGTCTAAAACCTGGTTCAATCCTAGTCAACACAATATTTCCCCTGCAATGTGAAACACCCTCCAAGCAAATTTGGTGTGTTACACCAGAGGACATTCCCTTGCCAATTCAAGTCGTCCCTGGATTATCCCGGATTACCGGCGGATCACCCACGGATTACTCCCAGACTACTCCCGGATTACACCCAGATTGATCCAGGGTGAAGGTGGTCGGTAGCAGCGGGGATCTGAGAGAAAAGAAGGGGAAAAAGGAAATGGTCGCAAGTGCGGGCATCGCCATGCGCTCGAGACGGGCTGCCTACCATCCTGACCCATTCCCCGAAGCGGGTACGGAACGAACGCTGTTACAGGCTCCATAACCAGGGCGTTCTTTTTACAGTGAACGGCCAAACTGACATCTTCTGTTTTCCCGAAGACGAAAAAATTTAAGGTGGTCGAGTTGTTATGGGGCTGCCTTCCGACTGACGTCAAGCTGCCAGGTATGTTGAATGGGTGAATTCATTCTGGACCAGGACAGAGGCAGAACGTGCACGGG